GTGATATTCTGTGCTGGGTTGGGATTTTGGAATTCTGGGGTAGATTCAAAAGGTATTTGTGGCTTTTCTAGTCTGATTGGGACATTTAAAGGTGGGGCTCACAATTCCTCAGGGCAGAAATTTCATGGGCCCTTCCCCCTGCCTGTGCTGAATTAAATAATACAGGCCAATGTCATTTGGCTTGCTGGTTAAGACAGTGGGCCTTAGAATCTATAAAGGTGGGCAGGAATGAAGCTGGTCAAATGTACTGAAAGGGTTTGATACCTGTTGCTGCTAGCAAAGGAGGGGCTGATACCCCCTTCTAGCGCACTCCCTTGAAAGAGGCCTGGTTGCTGCTCTGCCACAAAGGGAACTGGTAAAAAGGCAAGAAAGCAGAGTGCTATAACTAATAAACAAGGTTACCTAGAAGCCATCAGGACTTTGAAGTTCTCCAAAAGAGGAGGAATCTGACTCAGAGACTGGCGGGGAGGAATCTGACTCGGAGACTGGCGGGGACTGGGTGGCTCTCCTATCATGTTTCGCAGGCCACCCCCTATAAAACCCTTTTCTTTAACTATCTCTTTCCTTGAGAAGGCTCCAGAGGGCACACGAGGACATTTGGCCGCGCCTCCATGCCATCTACAAGACCAGCCCAACCCCAACTCACAGACCAGAAGATTGGATCTATGTCAGAAGGCACCGCCAAAAGACCCTCGAGCCATGTTGGAAGGGTCCCTACACTGTGGTGCTAACAACCCCCACCACTCTCAAGGTAGACAGTGTCGTGACCTGGGTCCATTACACTCACGTCCAGTCAGCGGTCCCATCCGTGCACAAAATGGAGCGTCGATCGAGATCAACACTACCCGCTCAAGCTCAAGCTACAGCGTGCTCCACCTGCCTGATGCTGGTAACATTGCTCGTAATCACTCCTGTCACCAGGAGCCCCCACAATACTGTGTAATACACTTAGATAATGCCTGCATCTTCATGGACATGGCTCCAAAGAGACAAGGACAATTTATAGGATCACATGTTTAGTAGCAGAAGCTTTGGCTGCCTAAAGCGGCCATAATGCCAATATTATGTTTCATTGTATTGATATGTTATATTGACCTTTGATTCTCTTGCAGGTTTGAATGTATATTGGTTATCCTGAAAGAGAACTGTGTGGGGTGACCCCCAAAAGTAAAGGGTGCCTAGCTGCCAAGAGGGAAGGTGCCCAACTAGGCAGGGAACGGTGCCCATCAGGTTTTGGTCACTGTTGAGAGACAGTTGACAGTTGGCAGCCTGTGTACTGCTTGCAGGCCTGCGTGACCATGCCCATGTCAGGGGTAGTAAAGCTGGAAAAGGTCTGTTTAGAATAGAAGATCTAAGGCATGGTTATGCATAGAAAGAAAGTTTTATACCAACAGTTGCTGTTTTGTTTTAAATCCATAAAAAGGAATTAGCAAGGAAAGTCAGAAAATCTTAGAGTAGATCAGTATGTTTTTCTCCTTATGTAATTTCTCTGAAATCTGGCAATGCTAAATAAATCATGGCAATATATCTCTTTGCATAGATTCAATAAGACCGGTTTCTAATAGTGGTTTTATTAACGGAAAACTTTGACTGGAGTATCATGTTTTAAAGAGCCCTGTCTGAGCTCTAAAGACTTGAAGCCAGTAAAAATGCCACGAAGAAAGCCTGGTATCCTGCTTGGGAGCCCTGAAGATGGCTGGCGCTGGAGCGTCAGGCCCATGCCCTACCATCACTGGCGGTTGGAAAGAGTAGAAGGGGAGCAGTAAAGATGCCTCTGCGTCCCTGCAGAACTCACACACACTCTGGGCCGCAACGGGTAGGAGGGCTACTGAGATGGGCCTTAAAGCCTGGAGCGTGGGCTCAGGTGGAATTGCTACAGGTGAGGAATTCACCTAACTCAGCAGATACTGCAGGCAGGCCTGATGGCAGCTGGGTGGCGTGGCTTCCTCTCCCTACAGGGCACATTAAGATTCAACCATGAGATTCCAGCAAAGGTAGTCAGTTACCATTCTTGTTGTGTTTATGCAAACATCAGGACAGTAGATAAATTAATCTTGATTTGGATTTTTGATAGCCACGGAGGAATTTTAAGGAAAAAAATCCTATTTCAATAGAAGTTATTAAAGCTAAAATGGTTTCTTTCCCTTCCACCAGACCATTTGTTAAGCATATAGGGATAATTCAGTTGATAGTTCTGTGTGCCCACTACGGGCCTCTAGCAACGATGAAATAGAAATGCACTCCGTCTCATGATTGAGCCGGAAGTTCCAAGACAAAGGGGGGAATGAAAGGGCGAGGACCACGCCCTCCATCTTACCCTGTGTCCTCCATTTAGGGGCAAACATGTGCTCAGGAAAGTACCTTCTTCCCGGAAGCCCAGGCCTCTGCTGGCCAAGCCTGGGATTTCTTTAAACTAACCAATGACAATTCAGGGACGTGGGAGCCTTAGAGATGACCACATCCTGTTTAACAAGACCCGACTTGCGCCTGGCCAATCGGCAGGGCCCACAGTCAGCTCCCCTCTCCTCACTCCACCCCCTATTAAAACCCTGAGTTTCCCACACCATCTCACTCTGCTTCCGGTCGCTGCGTCTGCCAGGAGGGGGAGTTGGGCTAGCTAGCTCAATAAAGGACCTTCTGCTTTTGCATTGGACTGGCTGGCTCCTGGTGTGGTCTTTTGGGGATCTTGAGATCTGGGCATAACAAACATGTTTTCTCTAAGTAAGAGTGGGTTTCCTATGGATTTTGCTCACCCAAGGACCAAATGAAACAAGCCTAGCTATTGGCAGATACACTTTAAGCATCTTAAGGAGATCAGTATGGAAAGGCCTCCCAGTGGAAAGAGAAAGAGAAGGTCCAAAAATGTTGAAGATGGAAATAGAGATTCAATATACAGAGAGGGTGGGGAGGATTTTCTGGATAGGTGTGCCTGCACCAAGTGGTGGATGAAGTCATAGATCACAGAACACCATATCCCTTCCTCTATAAGCACCAGCCATTTCACCAGACCCCCACCCCCCAAAACCATGGGGTGTTTGAGTAAAGGCAGCAAAGACATCTAAGGACTGAGATGGTTGCCTACTGCCCTAGCTGGTTTGGTTCAGCTGATAGAGCATCGGCCTGTGGACTGAAGGGTCTGAGTTTGATTCCAGTCAAGGGCACATGCCCGGGCTGCTGGCTCGATCCCCAGAGTGGGGCGTGCAGGAGGCAGCCCATCCATGTTTCCCTCTCATCATTGATGTTTCTCTCTCTCCCTCTCCCTTCCTTTCTGAAATCAATAAAAATTTATTTTAAAAGGAAAAAAAAAAACCTGATGTTTCCCACTCTGTCACAAAGGTGGCTGCCTTGCCTTGGTGTCTCCCCATGTGGTAAAGGTGCTGTGGTTTGAGTACATCACCACTGGGTCTGAATGATCAGAGTCACAGCACAGTAAGGAAGGGAAGACAGGGGACAACAGTGTAAGGTGTCCTCACTCAGCAGGTACCTCCCCCATATCCATCTTCACATCTTGCATCCGAACAGCTCTTCCGTATTAATGAACAATTCAGGGATGTACCAAAAATGCCAATAATTTGTTTCTAAGTCCTTAAAGTGGGAGGGGGACCAGTCATGACCACTTTTCTAAGAAGCAATTTTACACATTCCAAAAATGCTCCCTACTTACAGGGAAGTGGACCTCCTAGGGGTACTATGACCTCGCCTTCACCTTCCCTCATTCCTGTTCTCTTGGAACTCGGCTAATAGACTAAAATACCCAGTAATTATTTTGATCCAGAAAGAAAGAGAGGGGCCTAAATTTTTGGTAGCCTGACCTTCCACATCTCTCTGAAAACACACACGCATGCACGCACACACACCTTCCTCTGCCAAAGTATGCTCATGACAACCCTAATAATTTTACAGCTTATCACATGTCTTTGCACATATTTATGTTTAAAATGCACATGCCATGCAGGGAAAACTTTCAGCGGGCCTACGAAGAATCCTTGGATCTAAAAGAAGAAAGGATATAATGAACCCATTTGCAACAAAAAAAACTGAGGCTCAACTTTGTAAGACCTCTTTAAGATAAAACTAACTCAAGAAGAATCATTTTGCCGAAACCGGTTTGGCTCAGTGGATAGAGCGTCGGCCTGCAGACTGAAGGGTCCCGGGTTCGATTCTGGTCAAGGGCATGTACCTTGGTTGCGGGCACATCCCCAGTGGGAGATGTGCAGGAGGCAGCTGATCAATGTTTCTCTCTCATGGATGTTTCTAGCTCTCTATCTCTCTCCCTTCCTGTCTGTACAAAGAACTGAAAAGAAATCAATAAAATATATTTTTTTAAAAAAAAAAAAAGATAAAACTAATTCAAGAGAACCATTTTTCACTTTTCACTTTTGAGCAAAATTGTTCTTCTCTTTCTTGCTTTCCCTTTGACTAAACAGTTCTTTTTTTCACCAACCTTTTCCTCAAATAGGGTTTGTGAGACAATGGGTTTCCCTTTGACTAAACAGTTCCTTTTTTCACCAACCTTTTCCTCAAATAGGGTTTGTGAGTCAAGATACAGGGGACACCTGGATCTTCCCAAGGAATTCCCAAGATTAGGGAGGTAGCAAGTTACAAAAAGAGCTAGGGGGCACATCAGCATTTAGCCAACATAATCCTTTCATTTTGTAAATAAAATAGAAGAGGACTGTTTAGTGATAAAGAATCTAAATCCCTGTTTTAGAACCCCAGAGAAGATTTTTAGATAGGAGTATAATAAGGGTAAAGAGAGAATGGCAAAAATAGAGTCAAGGTTTTGCAAAGAATTAGAGAGATGAACAAGGAATGGTCTTTGGTATGCCTTGGCTCAGGGCACCTACACTATCAGGGAAAACATATCAGAATTCACAGGGCTAACAATATGACAGATGTTGATGTTGTTTGTGAACGGTGACGCTGAGATGAGCCAGACAACAGGATACAAAGAAGCAGAGGGCTACCGCTCGCTCAGGTGTGTAGCAAAAACCCTCTGATCCCTTCTGGCTTTTATTGTGGGTGAGCACAGCAAACGACAATAGAGTACAGCAAGTGACAATGATTAACAGGCACGCTTATGAGATCATCAAAGCTAAGTTATACATTACACTATTAATTTCCTATGTTATACAAAGACTCTTTCCACCTGCAGCAGTGTACCCTCCTTTGCTTTCCATGTCCTCATGGACTATTTTTCACCTCAAGGAAAGTTCTGCCTCTGAACAATAAGTCTTGCGTGCAAGACTTTGTTCTGACGCGGCCTGCTTGCAGGCTCCCGCCTTTTCCTGGCAGAACGTCCTCTTCTAGTTAACTTTTTATTCCACTTTATTGCAACATTTTCCCCCTTTTTAATTTTGCTGCAGGTTTGAATCATGACAGAGAAGATAGCAAAGCTATTTCATTATAAGGTACAATTAAAACAAGATATTTCCCTAGTAGTTTGAGTCCATTGAACTAGTCCTTTCAAGAATTAGTGGTGTTTTTAGCTACACTCAACCAGGCTTTAAAATACAATTGCAAATAATGATCACCCAGTCCCAGTCACACAGGCATTCCGGCATCTGGTTTCAAAGGCCTACGATCTTCAAAAAGTCCAGGTATTCAATTAGAGTCATTAGTTACAGGGCCTTCTATGGTCAGTCACAAGATGTTCTCCTTCCTGGCATAGGCGTTTCACCTGTCCCCATGTAGGTGAAGGAGTGTTTCGGGTTCGAGACAACAGCGTGCGAATTGTTTGTCCTCCCTTGATGGTTAGCTGCGCAAACCAGTCTTCCAGTCCCACTTCATCACGCTTCCTCTTGCTCGCCATGCCTTAACTTGATTCTTTTATCAGGAATCCAGAACTTCTTAGTTCCTGTGGAAATATAAGCATAACCTTGACCCCATCTTAAAACGGTAGCCGGGCACCATTGATTAGTATTGACATCTTGATACATGATAGGTTGTTCTACCGGGACCTCCTTTTTATGTCCCCAATGCATTTCAGCAGCTGACACTGCATCTGTATTCAAATTTTAAAAATTTAAAGTAAATAGAGCTCTTAATAATCTTCGTCGGGGAGTCTGGCCTGATACCAGCTCTTCTCCCCCTTTTTGTTTTTGCAGTATTTCCTTAAGGGTTTGGTTCTACCGTTCAATAATTGTTTGATCTGTATTGTTTCCAGGAATTCTTGTAATATGTTTAATATTAAACTGTTGAAAAAATATTGACACTTACCTGATAAATATGCTGAGCCATTGTTAGTTTTAATGGCTCGGGGCTTGCCTATTACAGCAAAGGCTTTAATGCTGGATTTGGAATTCCAGGTTGTAAAGGTCCTATAGGCTTAATAATCTCATTAATCCGTCTTAAATCAGTTAATATTCTCCATTTACCCGATTTTTTCTTTATAACAAAGACAGGGGAATTCCACGGACTAGAGCTGGCTTCTATATGCCCTAGTTGTATTTGTTCTTTGATAATAATTTGGAGCGCTTCCAACTTCTCTTTTGTTAGGGGCCACTGCTCTACCCAAACCGGTTTAGTTGTTTTCCATTTCAAAGATAGGGCGAAGTGCTTTGAAGTGGCCCCCTCTATAAATTTTGATCTTGAGCACTAACGCTGGCGTCAGCTTGACAAATCATTAATCTATGACCTTTCTGTAACAAAGGTATAGTAATTGTAGCTCCCCATTGTTGTAAAAGATCTCTTCCCCACAAAGATAGTGCAATGGAGGCAACATATGGCTGTATTCTCCCTTTTTGTCCTTCAGGCCCCCGACATTCAAGTACATTAGAGCTTTGTAAAATCTCAGTGAGGGTCCCTAAACCTGTAAAAGTTGCATTCACCTTGTGTACCGGCCAAGATTGAGGCCAGTGCAAAGTAGAAACTATGGTTACATCAGCCCCAGAATCTACTAGGCCGGTAATTTTTATTCCCTCCGGGAACATTACTGTAAGTTGAGGTCTTTGGCCTCCTAAGACTGTATGCCAAAAGACCTATTTTCCCCGTGCTACCAAATCCCCCAGTTCGTTTAACTGGTGCTGTATGTCCTATTTGTTTATAGGGAAGTAATAATAACTGTGCCATTTTTTCTCCAGCTTTTATATTTATAATATTAAAAGTAGACATCATAACTAATATTTCTCCTTCATAATCTGCATCAATAACTCCGGGATGAACTTGTAAACCTTTAGTTGTTAAACTACTTCTTCCTAGTAGCAATCCTACTGTTTCCTCAGGTAAAGGTCCATAAACCCCGGTGGGTATTTTCTGTACCCCATCTCCAGGAGAAATAGTAAAATCATTAAGAGCTGGAATGTCTACTGCGGCACTTTGAGCGGTAGCATGAAATAAGTCAGAGACCTTCATTTTATTTTTCCCTTCTTTTTGCTCGTATTGTTTTTCTTGGGGCCCCGAGCTAAGCCCCGAGTCTAGTTTCCCGACTGCATGGGTGTTAATTTGTTGCCGTCTTTATCTCTAGCAGACCGGCATTCTCTAGCCCAGTGTCGTCATTGTAACTGTTAGAACCAACTTCCCTACAACTGCGGATATAGTAGTCCACAATTCCTCCAGCAGCTTTAGCAGCCTGCAGAGCCCTTTTACAATCGTCGTTAGCATTTTCAAAAGCTAAAGACAAAAGCAATTGATTTTGAGCTTCCTCCCCATTTACAGTTCTTTGAATTGCCTTCTGCAACCTAGCAAGAAAATCAGTGTAAGGTTCATTAAGTTTTTGTATAACCTTAGAAAATGATTGAGCCAGGGTGCTGGTCTCCTCCATTTTTGACCAAGCTTTTAAGCAACAAGCTTTAATCTGTGCAATTACAGCATCATCTAGCTTCTAGCAGCACCTGTTGCTGTATGCTAATATGTGTCCCAGTCCCTGTTAGCTGGTCAAAATTACATCCAGATGGATTTTGTTGGGCGTTCATCATCGCCACTCTCCTGGCTTCTTCCTACCACCAGGATTTAAATTGCAGATATTGCCCTGGGGCTAATACTGCCTTAGCTATTGTATTTTAATAATAAGGAATTAATTTATAATCTGTATAAATTAATTCTATAGTAATTAATATATAAAATTAATAACATATATAATTATATATAATAATATTATAATTAATAATATATATAACCCTTGAGGGTATTGAGCTTTAACAGCTCTTTGTGTCCTCGGGTGGGTGGTGGAGGCTCAGCTGCTAACGCCGGATTAAAGGCTAGTGCCGTTTTACTTTCAGTTTTTGGTGGCGGTGCAGCCAACTCCTGAGGATTTTTATTTTCTTTCTTTTTCTTACTACTGTAAGCAATAATTCTTTTAGACTCCCTAAAAGCTCCTTCATCTGTTTCCCTTTTCTTCACTCTTCTTTTCCTTAACTTGGGGGGGGGGGGGGGGGCGGGGGGTAACGATCCTCTTCCGAACCAGCAGAAGATGAATCCTCCAGCTCTGAATGGCTGGGTGAGGTTATGCTTTCATAACCCCCTAATTCATTTTTGCAGCTAGTCTTCTGTCCTTTTCTTGACTCCCTCGGTTCAGTGACCTCTAACGGGAGCGGCTCAGGTGGTAACAGTTTCTCAGGAGAGAGAGGCTCAGGGCTTAAACACCTAGCTCCTGGAGCAGCACTTTGCGACCTCAAAGTAATTTCTTCATAATCTTCAGAATCAGACTGAAAAGGCTGTAAAGCTAACGTTACTAAATTAAAAATAGCCCACACATCAGCCTCTATTGCATTTCCCTGTTGATGAGCCCTTCTTAATGACCTTCCAACTTGTTTCCACAACTTAAGATTTAACTGCTGTTTTCCTTCTGGGTGAAACCAACAACAGTGCTGCTGAACTGCCTTAAACAATTTTTTAAAAACCTCACTTTTACCCCTGAGCTCTTTAACAATGATTTCAAGACAGCTATATATTGACTCTGCATCGATGGGCTATTCCCCATGACTCTGACTATTGCCGAAAGTTCCGCGTACTCTGCGCTGGCAAAACCCTTTTCGTCCTACCCGTTCCCAATTTCTTACCTTCGGGTCCCTGATCTGTTCAGGCGCCATTTGTTGATATTGTTTGTGAACGGAGACACTGAGGCAAGCTTGGCGTGTAGGATGAAGTAGAGCAGAGGGCTACCGCTCGCTCAGGCGTGTAGCAAAAACCGTCTGATCCCTTCTGGCTTTTATTGGGGTGAGCACAGCAAACAACAATAGAGTACAGCAAGTGACAATGATTAACAGGCATGCTTATGAGATCATCAAAGCTAAGTTATACATTACACTACTAATTTCCTATGTTATACATAGACTCTTTCCACCTGCAGCAGTGCACCCTCCCTGGCTTTCCATGCCCTCATGGGCTATTTATCACGTCAAGGAAAGTTCTGCCTCTGAACAATAAGTCTTGTGTGCAAGACTTTGTTCTGAGCGGCCTGCTTGCAGGCTCCCACCTTTTCCTGGCAGAACGTCCTCTTCTAGTTAACTTTTTTTTTTAATATAATTTATTGAATTTTTACAGAGAAGAAGGGAGAGGGATAGAGAGCTAGAAACATCGATGAGAAACATTGATCAGCTGCCTCCTGCACATCCCCCAGTAGGGATGTGCCCGCCACCAAGGTACATGCCCTTGACCGGAATCGAACCTGGGACCCTTGAGTCCACAGGCCAACGCTCTATCCACTGAGCCAAACTGGTTCGGCTGGTTAACGTTTTATTCCACTTTACCACAACAACAAAAATTAAGCAATGAGAAAGTAAAGAAACTCGCCTGCCTCCTGTATTAAAACCTTGCACGGTAGTGTCATGAGATGCTGGGAAGTGATCTGACTTCCAAACATTAAATATAATAAAATGGAAACAGCTCCCAAAATAGATAAAGCCTCTTTTCAAACTTCTATCTTCACAAAAATATAACTTAATGTTTGATCATCTTTACAAAACTTACTTGCATTTCAATGCCAGCAACAGGCAAGAAAATACTCTGCCAAGTAAATTCAGTAGCCTTAAGTGACTCACTAGATCAGATGGATTTAACTGATATATTCAGAGCATTTCATCTCAAAGCAGCAGAATATACATTCTTTCCAAGGGTACACAGAATATGTTCTAAAATAGACCAATGTTAGGTAACAAAAATGTCTCAATAAATTTAAGAAAATTGAAATCATATGAAGCATCTTTTCTGACCATAATGGTATGAAACTAGATATCAATCACAAGGAAACATTTGAAAAACACACACAGAGATGGAGGCTAAGTAACATGTTACTAAACAATGAATGGGTTGACAATGAGATCAAGGAAAGCCTTTCCTGTAAGATCAGGAACGAGACAGGGATGCCTACTCTCACCACTGTTATTCAACATAGTACTGAAGTCCAGAGCAATCAGGCAAGAGGAAGAAAGAAAAGGCATCCACATTGGGAATAAAGAGGTAAAACTGTCCCTTTTTGCAGATGACATAATTCTGTATATAGAAAGCCCTAAAGGCTCCACCAAAAGACTATTAGAAAAAATAAGCAAATACAATACAATTGCAGAATACAAAAATCAATATACAAAAATCTATTGCATTCCTATATATTAACAAAATATCAAAAAATGAAATGGAGAACACAACTCCATTTGCAATTATAACAAAAAAGATAAAATACCTAGAAATAAATTCAACAAAAAAAGTGAAAGAACTATGCACTGAAAACTATAAGTGTTATGCCCAGATTTCAGGATCCCCAAGAAACCACACCAGGGAGCCAGCCAGGTCCAATGCAAAAGCATAAGAGTCTTTATTCGAGCTAGCTCGGCTCCCCCACCTCGCCGACACAGCGGCAGGAAGCAGAGAGAGAGAACTCTGTGTGGAGAGAGGTTTTATAGGGGGGTTGGAGTAAGGGGAGGAGAAAGGACTGTGGGCCCTGCCAATTGGCCAGGCCCAAGTCAGTGTGTTGTTCCTGGGTGTGGCTAGCAGAGGCTTAGACTTCCGTGAAGAAGCTCCTTGCCAAGCACATGGCTGCCCCAAAATGGAGGACCCAGGGTAAGATGGAGGGCGTAGTCCTCACCCTTTCATTCCCCCCTTTGTCTTGGAATTTCTGGTTCAATCATGAGACGGACTGCAATTCTATTTTACCGTTGCTAGAGGCCTGTACTGGGCACACAGAACTATCAACTGAACTATCCCTATATGCTTAACAAATGGTCTGGTGGAAGGGAAAGAAACCATTTTAGCTTTAATAGGATTTTTCTTCTTAAAATTCCTCCATGGCTATCAAAAAGCCAAATTAAGATTAATTTATCTACTGTATTCAATTTGGCCTGATGTTTCCATAAACACAACAAGAATGGTAACCGACCACCTTTGCTGGAATCTCATGGTTGAATCTTAATGTGCCCCATAGGGCCAGGAGGCCAAGCCATCCAGCTGTCATCAGGCCTGCCTGCAGTATCTGCTGAGTTAGGTGAATCCCTCACCTGTAGCAACTCCACCTGAGCCCACGCTCTAGGCTTTAAGGCCCATCTCAGTAGCCCTCCTACTTGCTGCGGCCCAGAGTGTGTGGGGGTTCTACAGGGATGCAGAGGCATCCTTATTGCTCCCCTTCTACTCTGACTAACCGCCAGTGATGGTAGGGCATGGGCCTGACACTCCAGCGCCAGCCATCTTCAGGGCTTCCAACCAGGCTTTCTTCGTGGCATTCTTACTGGCTTTTAAGTCTTTAGAGCTCAGACAGGGCTCTTTAAAACATGATACTCCAGTCAAAGTTTTCCGTTAATAAAACCACTATTAGGAACCAGTCTTATTGAATCTATGCAAAGAAATGTGTTGCCATGACTTATTTAGCATTGCCAAATTTCGGAGGAATTACATAAGGAGAAAAACATACTGATCTGCTCTAAGATTTTCTGACTTTCCTTGCCAATCCCTTTTCACGGATTCTTCAGAGTTATAACAAAACAGTAACTGTTGGCATTAAACCTTCTTTCTATGCATAACCATGCTTCAGACCTTGTATTCCAAACAGGCCTTTTCCAGCTTTCTACAGTTGAGGTTTGTACTACCCCTGACATGGGCATGGTTACGCAGGCCTGCAAGACAGTATACAGGCTGCCAACCATCAACTGTCTCTCAACAGAGACCAAAACCTGATGGGCACCCTTCCCTGCCCAGTTAGGCACCTGCCCTCTTGGCAGCCAGACACCCTCTACTCTTGAGGTTCACCCCACATAGTCCCCTTCCAGGACAGCCAACATACATTCAAACCTGCAAGAGAATCAAAGGTCAATATAACATATCAATACAATGAAACAATATTGGCATCATGGCCGCTTCAGGCAGCCAAATCCTACTAAAGTCTATTCTTGACCTTCCTAAAAATTGTCCTTGTCTCTTTGGAGCCATGTCCATGAAGATGCAGGCATCATCTAAGTCTATTACACAGTATTGTGGGGGCTCCCGGCAGCAGGAGTGGTCGCGAGCAATGTTACCAGCATCAGGCAGGTCGAGCACGCCGTAAGCTTGAGCGGGTTGCGTTGATCTCGATTGACGCTCCATTTGGTGACGAAGTCTTCCCGGATCACAGATGGGTCCGCTGACTGGACATGAGTGTGATGGACCCAGGTCGAGACACCGTCTACCTTGAGAGCGGGGCGGGGGTGGGGGGGGTTGTCAGCACCACAGTGTAGGGACCCTTCCAACGTGTCTCGAGGGTCTCCCAGCGGTGCCTTCTGACGTAGACCCAATCTCCTGGTCTGTGCTGATGAGGAGTAGGGGTTGGGCTGGTCTTCTAGGTCCAGGGAGAGTGCCCTTTTGTTAACTCTGTTTATTAGTTACAGCGCTCTGCTTTCTTGCCTTTCTACCAGTTCCCTTTGTGGCAGAGCAGCAACCAGGCCTCTTTCAAGGGAGTGTGCTAGGAGGGGGGTCAGTCCCTCCTTTGCTAGCAGCAACAGGTACCAAACCCTTTCAGTACATTTGACCAGCTTCATTCCCGCCCACCTTTACAGATCCCAAGGCCCATTGTCTTCCTTTAACCAGCAAGCCAAATGACACTGGCCTGTATTATTTAATTCAGCACAGGCAGGAGGGCCGACAAAATCTCTGCCCTGAGGAATTGTGAGCCCTACCCCTAAATGTCCCAATCAGACTAGAAAAGTTACAAATACCTTTTAAATCTACCCCAGAATTCCAAAATCCCAACCCAGCACAGAATATCACATAGCAAATCAAAGTTCCCAGCAAACAAACAGACAGAGATGTTTACTAGTTAGGCGGGACGATTCCACCTCTGATAGAGAGCAAGCGCCCTTGGGGTGGCCGCTCAGGGCATTTTGCTATCGGTCAGAGCACTCAGCCTCAAAGAAATCAAGCCTGTGGGTTTTTTTTTAGACACAAACAGAAATTTCACTAGCTAAACAATTTTCAATAAAGACAGATAACATTTCCCATTAAAAACTTTGAATCACCACAGGAGAAAACAAAACAAAACAGAAATAAACAAAAACACTTTTACACAGGTGCATGCCACATTTACAGCACAAAATACCAACAGATAACCTAGCTTAATTAACATATTATCTAGAGCCCTTGGGTAACCTGGGTTAAACTTAGGCATGTTATCTAAATTACAGTCCTGGGTCTCCAGAACACTGAGTTGATAAGTTAACTGGAGCCCTCTGATCCTGGGACAGCTGCGCTGTCCCTCCCAGGCAAAGGAAAAATGTGCCCTCTAAGCCCAGTATGAAATCACAGTTTCTACCTGAAATAATCGTACTTTACTTTAGAAATTGGATTACTGCTATTAGTCCTTTCTAAAGACTTTGACATATTAAATAAATCCGAGAGGCAAGCACACTTCCTGCCCCATAAAACTCCACCTTAAAGCTCCACCCCTGAAATTCCATCCTGCCTCAGTGAGACATTGCTAAATCAGAGGGAGGGGCCTTTGCTGTTTCAAGATGGCAGCCCCAGGGGAGCGGCAAGTCATGTGGCTGACATGGTGGCTGCCAAGTCATGCAGCCCAAAATGGTGGCTGTCTACACTGTTTTTGCAAATCAGGACCAATAAGCAAAGGCATTTAGTTACCACAATTACACAATTTTTTCCAATTCAGTCCGAACCTTAAACTTTTAGCTGGCAAGTCAAAATATTCAGCATTTCTCAATCAGTAACATCTTTAAGAATAAACTTTAAAAATGCAAGACATACTTAACCAACAGATTTAATTCTGTCCTCTAGATTTTTCATGAGGCAAATTAGAGTAAATTTTACTTTTTACTTTCAAGAGGCTCTGGAAAACCACATTTGAGCCTTGAAAAACAGGTTCTGGCCTA